TTTGGGGCTCGTAGTGGTTGAAAGGGCTTCCGAGTAGGTTTGGTGACTCGTAGGGGGGGTCAAATTTTTTATTTTTTTTTCTGGTTTTAGTGTTTGGGCGTGTAGGGGGCCACGTGTCCGGGGCCCAATGCCCCCAATCCGTTTTTCCAGATTCGACGGGGAGACCCCCGTTTTCTTGTTAAACGGGATTCAACGGGGGCTCCGGGGCCTATTCAATGGGTACAAGGGCGTTTAATTCCATCCGTTGCCCATTGTTAGGATACACAGGTCATCAAGCCGTCTTTGAAGTCGTATTCGGAGCCAGACTCCCTTCTTTCTGCAATTTTTGCATTTTCCTGATCACTTTCATCTTTTTGAGTCAGACAGCAGCTCAACAACTTGCACTGTTAGCGGGCTAGTCGCCCTAGTTCGTGTTACCTTCTGGGTGCCCAAGGTGCTTAGCAGAGGGGCGAGCAGGTTGCCGGGCATATCATTTGCACTGTTGGTGGGAGGGCTTGTACCCACGCTCCGTCTTTTCTGTTCGCCTGCAGTCTCAAAGATATCTCTTCAATCAACACTGTTGGCCAAAATTGGTTGCCCTCAGTCTCCACCCCTGAGCACCCTTTATTATTCCCAATCACCACTATCCATTCTGAGTGAGTGCGGTCTGTTGCTTTCTTTCCCAATTCTTCTTTAGCAGTGTTGTTACCGTTGTGAATGCCATTGCAACGTCTCCCCCGTTTATGTGTGTTAGGGCATACTCACACTAGTGGGTTTTTTGGCTAAATCGCAAAATCCGCTATGCTGTTAGAGTCACACTAGGGTTTTCCGACCACCAAAGTTGGCAAACGGGGTAGCATTTGTCAGCGGCCTGGGGGGGCGCGGGGATGGGCATTTTGCTACCACCTCGAGAGGTAGTGGCAAATTCTCTTTTGGCCATGACAAATTCTCTTTCGCCTTTTGGGAATTGTTAAAAGAAAATTTCCGGGCTTGGTGACCATGAGAGGCACCAATTTTGCAATTGCCAGAGAGTCCCGCTCGTGTCCTTTCTGATTTGCAACCCATGTGTGACCGGGCGGGGTATTATTTCAGCAAACATGGGAAAGAAAATCCAGCAGGTTTTGCTAGACTGCCACCGCTGTGTGAGTACGCCCTTATGTTCTCGGACTCATTTCACGCCAATTTGACCAGCTGCTTCCTCCCTCTCCTCTTCCTCCCCCCCCCCCCCTCTTTCTTTCCTTCGAAAAGAAAAGATAGAAAAAAAATACTCATTTTTTTTTCCTCATTCTTTTCCGAAAGGGTGACAGCCTTGCTATGATGTCATCTTTGAAGTTCAAACTTCAAAGATGACATCATAGTAAGGCTGTCGCCATCTTTGAAGTCTGAATTCCAATGCAATCAGACGAGGTTTCCTAAATTCAGTGTTCTCTTTTTTTCACTCATCTGATTGCATTGGAATTCGAACTCAGGTCCGCATTTCAACAGTTCGTAGGTGTACCAACTGAGCAACGACCAGCTCTTTTCCCATCATCCTTCTCCTGATATTTCCCCCCCCCCAATGTAAGGGAGGGAGGGTTTAGCTCTCAAATGGACACATGTGTTAGCCAGAGAATTTAGAAGTAGATGACGCGCAGTTAACGGAGGGCCGGAAATTCGCTGCTTTCGCTGACAGTTTCCGTGCAATTTTCAGCAAGAATTTCAAAAATAAACTATACAGGCCATAGTGGTTAAGAGACTTGGCTCTTGAGGCCGAGGCCACCCGTTCGAATCTGTGCTTGCACGGAGGAGGGCTTAGGCGCAGACGTACGGAATCCATACTACCATAGTGCAAACAAACAAAAAACAAACAGGCCAAAGAAAACAGAAAAAGAAAAAGAAAAAAATAAACAACACAAAAACACTACAAAAACCTAACAGAAAAACACTCTCCAAGTTCAAATGAAGCCTTCAACGGATCCAACGGAACGAAATGCCAACTTCTTCATTAATGATCCAACCATGTCAGAACTGGGACACATGACGTAGTACCCTAAAGCACCTACATATCACACCAAACAAAAACAAGAAAAAAAAGCAAAAAAAACAGGGCAATATGACCAGTTTCGGTGCAAAATTCGGCGCCAGTTAACCACGTGTGTGGCCCGGTGTTCCTGCCAGTGGGCCCGCTTCGGATGTCGCATTTTCTCCGACCCTTCCCCCTGTGGATCCTGCTCCGTCTGTTGATCCTTTACATGATGAATGAATACATGGCCCAAAGTCGGTGTCTGTTTCGTCCGTCTGTTGGTATTGTGGTGGGAGCAGTGTATGGTTATTACCACCCTGGGGTGAAGTTATTGGCACCGTAAGTGTGCAGGCCCTCTGGCACACGCGTCTGAACTTGCTGCAACTGTGTGCAACTGTGCACAGTGCAGTTGCATACACTGTTGCTGTATTTTTTACCTTCAATTAAATAACTAATTAATTACTTATAGTTAATTCAGTTAACTAATTAATTACTTAATAAGTTAACTCAGTAAGTAAGTAATTTTTGAAGGGTGATTCTCGTTTCTTGAGCTTTAGCATTTAGTGCTGTGTTAAAGTTCGCCCTGATTCCTGCTAGGTTTTCCAAAAGACTTTCCTACGGTAGCTGAAGCTAGCTGGGTAATCGTGCCCCCATATCATGATCTCAATTTTGTTCTGTATAATTTCATACAGGACAATGGGCCCGGTTCCCAGCACGTGTTTGCTCCCCACGAATAGAACGGAGCATCGTCCCCATTCAAAGGAAAAAAAAAAAAAAAAAAAAAAAAAGCCTTGAGATATCACCTTTAAAGTTCAAAGTTGAATCTGACCGTTCCCAGGTTAATTCAGAGTTACTTATCTGAGTTGATTGAAATTCACACTGAGGTGACTGAGAGGTCTGTATTTCAACAGTCCATGGGTGTACCAACTGAGCTATACGGTTGCTTTTGTCGTTGTTCCTCATGTTCTTTTCAGTGTTCTTTTCGTTGTTCGATCTGATGAAAGAGAGGGTGTATAATTTGTTGCTGCTTTTGTCTATATTTATAGCTGTTGTTGCATTAGCTGCGATTGTTTTTGCTGGGCCTGTTCCCATTGTTGCTGCTGGATCGGTGGTTCCATCCGCCTCCTCTGTTCCTCTTGCTATTCTTGCTGTCTCCCGGCTCGCACTTGTTGCACTTCTCACCAGCACTCGCCAGGACTCTTGCTCCATCTGCAGCTGCTGTTGATGCTGCAGTTCAAGTTGCCGCAGGGCCTGCTGTCGCTGATCCATTTGGTGTTGGGCCTGCTCCAACCACTGCAAGAGGAGGAGCACTTGTTTCTGGGGATAGGTGCAGGGCCAGGTGGGGATTGGCCTGGCGAGGGCCATGTTGTGGCGGTGTAGACAAACATGGTTCCTCCGTGTAGTTTGGATTGCAGATTGGTATTCAATTCTGTCCTTGTAGCCCACAGCTCCAGAACCGACGGGCAAGTCGCAGTGGTGATATGTTCGTGCTTTGAGAGCACGAACTTTGGCCGCAATAGTGGCCAGGGCCATGTTTTCCTAGCATGAACCTAGCACTGGTGCACTCCCTGCCTCCAAATCCAGTAAGGATTGCAAATTCGTTGACAGATGTTGACCTTAAAATTGTTCCGGTAGGGACTTCACCCGTGGAATGGGTGGGACTGTAAGGAACTTCTAGCTTCAGCGCACACGGGACCGGAATTGTCCCAGCCTACAAGGAGCCAGGGCAAGCCCAGTTCATGTCAATTTGACCCAGTTCATGTCAGACCGACTTCTTCGACGGCTCAGTGAGAATGTAGAAGGGGCCGGGCAGCAGTATACATGTGGGGATTGAACGGTCGGACTTCCCTGGCCAGCTAGCTGCTGCTACTACTACTACTACTACTGTCTTCCTCCAAAGACAACACAGCCTGATGATAATGAATGTGTATAGAAGCCACCTTTCCGTTCTGAGTCAGCCTCAATGTGGGTGCAATGTGTTCATGTGGAAGACGGTAAACACCATCACTCCCTTCCTCAACACATAACCTGAGAATCACATAGGTCCTCGCTCCACTACTCACCAAATGTGCAAAATGAAAATGAATCCTCCGCTAGAACATGGAAAGATACAGCACCCATTTCTTTTTTGTCTTTCATCAATGTGGAGAGTAGTGGAGCAGGGCGCACCGCCAGATCTTTTGTCTTTAGTGCATGTGGAGGCCTGGGAGTTGTTGGTTGAGAAGACTCTTTTTCCTTTTCTGTGTCAGCGCATATGCAGAACTGAACCCGGCCCAGTGATACAGGTCCAGACTCTGGAGCCTGGACCATAAGGATGGATAGGCTAGGACCATGGCCTCCATCCTGGACTAGAGATGGCACGTAGATGTATAAGACCAAGGATGAAGACCGCGAGAAATTGAGAGGTGGATGTGTAGGGAAATTGAATGTTTGCAGATGAGAAGATTGGACTTACCTGCTGGCGGCGCAGTCAGAGCTGCCAGTTGGAAGCTGGACTGCGACCCGTTATTCGCACGACATCAGCAGCTCAATGGGCCACCTTTCGCCAGCAGTTCTTCCATCCACAGAGAACACAAACACACACACACACACATACACACACACACACACAGAGAG